CGCAGGTTTCAACGCTTCTCCTTTCATGCAGGTGGGACAAACGTGAGAGGAAACCACCGGCAACATGCTCAATGCTTACACACCTTTCACACACAAATAAACACAGGTGTAAGTACACATGCAGACACGGCACTTATATTTAGAGCATCTGATCATGCTGAGTATGGTGCTGTCAAATTCATCTCAGAATGCAGTCAAGGTTCAAGGACTTTTAAGTAAGCATCAAGGTTTTGTGAATGCAGAACCAGTTAAATTAGGCCAAGGCTGGGGAGAGGATGCTCTGCATGATCAAAGGGTACACTGATTTGACGGTTTGACTGTTCCATGTTGCTGAGGTGAGGAGGATGTTTTCAGAGGCAAAAAAAAAGAAAACAAACTGCATCGGAAGGTTTATCTCAACAGCAATTACTAGACAGAGCGATGGAAGCAGAAGGAGAGACAAGCCGAAGCTGAGGCTGAAAGAGAAAGAGAGAGCATAAACACCAGAGGTGGAGGGGAACCTTGATACAATTCCAGGCTGATTAATGAAGAGGCAGTGAGGTGAAATGAACAGGAAATCGGGAGGGAAGCTATGGCTGAATCTTGTTCTTTGATCTTTTGCTCCAGCAAGACATTGTACACTGAAAGCTGCAGCAAGCACAGTGACTCACACCTGTTTCCGTAGCTATAAAACACAGAGGAGATGGAGTTGTGTTATTGGCTGGTAAGCTCCCTTGTCAAAATCACAGGCAGAGGGAGGATTTGATGGCAGACTATATATCCTCTACTATAAACCCTCTGGATACGGTTAAACAGTTCAGTCAGCAAGCTCTGTGTAAGAACGGTGGTGGCACAACCTTCTTTTATCCTCACATGACCAACCTCAGTTACCATCAAAGCTAATACACATACTGCCAATCTGTGGTCCTAAACAGTACTACACTTCAGTAGCCAATGTGTGCCTTTTATGAGGACAGGGCAGGATAAGAGATGTGGAGATAGGAGACAAGCGAGAGAGGCAAAGGACTCCCAAAACATCAGCACATCCCACAATGAGCCAAGGGCCATGAATCCGATTAATAGTGTGATGTGAACGCTAATGTTATTTATGCTCAGAGTCGGGGTATGGATCATTGAGATAAGAGCCTAGTGCTAAATGCAGAGGGACAGCCAATTGCAAATGGCCTGTTATCTAATCAGCTCATGAAGCGAGGTGTCTGTTATGAGTGACAGTGCTACAGACATGTCAGCACTGCTGTGACCTCTCACTGGGGTTCACTCAAGGAACATCAGAAGTTTCATTTCAAGGATTATCTCTAAGTCTGGGATATTCTCATTACAACTTTGATTAAAACTGAATATTAAAAAAAATATTTCCAATTCCTCTATGATGAAATTATTAAGATGAAGTAATATTGCGCATCTTCATCTTTCCTCTTTTCCTCCACTTTTTTCTCGGATATGAGAATAAAAGATATGTGTGAGAAAACAAGATGATGGATGACTTCACCTCCCAAGGTGCTACACTGTACGTCAACACAGAGGAGAGTCAATGAAAGACCCTTGGAGCTCAAGACAAAATGCTCCAGTGAAGTGTTTTACACAAGAAAACGGAGATATGGTGAGAGAGTGGCTGCACACATCACAGCTTTCTATCGTCGAGCACAAAGTGACAGTAATATCTGCCTTTTCTCGCAGGAGACAGGAGGCTGACAGGCAGATGCAACTTTCATTTGACACACGGATACAGGGAAGTAGCATCTCCCTTGAACAACAAACAGACTGAGAAAGATCTCACATGTTTACGCACACAGACATTTCTTTCTTCCAAATTGTGCTCAAATTAAAATAATTTTATCCTGAGGGGATTCAAAGCTGACAGCCTACCCATCTTCTTTACCCTGAGCAGCAAAATGTTGCAGCCATTGGTTTTCTTTTCTACACCATATAACTCAAAAAGGAAATCTCCTCTGCCTCCAACCCCCTCTAGTCTCCAAACAAGCACTTTATCTTCCTGTCTACAGGCACAGCAGACTAAACACACTCTCTAATAGACGGTGTTTTCTGTCCAAGGCAAGCCTGTCTGGAGGCAGTGGGGCTTGACTATACAGTTTGAATCCACATACTTTATCAGCAATGATACAGAGACATAATAGGACATAAATACATGGAAACAAGCACACCAATATGAATGGGTAGCCTGTCTCACTTAAAGTGCATTCTGGCTCAGTAAAACAGGCACCCCACATACATACAGTCTACAGAGCTTAAAGCAGGAAAAACACCAGCTTCGAAAAAGCAAACTCATGGAAACTGATTCAAGTTCTTGTGTAGCTATGGGTCAGAGAAAGTCTGCAAGAACTGGCATGTAAACCCAAATTTCACACTTCCCATGGCAATATGACCACCTACTTTCAGCCAGTGAGAGAAAAACAGATAAAGAGCATGTGAATCTGAAAAAAAGGGGCTTAAGTTGCAGCTTTTATGACCAGAAAATCATTACTATGGATCCTTAGACTGGAAAAACGTAAGTGGAAAAGTTTGTTGTTTTCACATCCGTCAAAAACTACTCAAGGCACTTCAGCTCTCGGTAGACACCCACAGCCGCCAACACAGAAGGACTGTGGATTTCACTGGACTGCCAAGAAGCAGTGAGGTGAAAGAGACACAATAAACATCATGAGATTAAGCGGACTTTTAGTTAACTGTGTGTGAGAGAAAACATCAGACTTGTGATGCTGGGTCTGTGTAGCCATGTGATATTCATTGAAAAACACAGTGAGTGTTGTCTGTAGTGCTTTAGAATATGATTCATTCATTATGATCCATCTATTAAACTCTACCCTAGTGAGCACTTTTGTTTGTATCTTAAGAGCTCAAGATACAAACAAAAATGCTCACTAGGGTATTTGCCCACATGCAGTGAGTGAAGATCAATACTGCCTCCCTGTGGATATGAAGTGAACATGACAGACACGCCAGTAAAAAAATTAAGTACTTATCTACATTAAGTGGAGAATTTTCAAGAAGGAATAAAACTTAGAAAACATTCAAAATGTAAAACAAAAACATGCAAACAAGATGGTTCAACTAAAGGGCTTGTGCCATAGATAACTATGAGGCAGTCAGACACAGAAAGTGCCAGTTTCAGCATGATTTGATTATGTTATTGGTATCACAAGCTTGTCAGCTAATTTATTTAATATTATTAAACACAAGCTCATCCTTGACTTTATCATCTGTGCCCTCATTCGATCGCAATATGTGAGCTTAAAAGCGTTCACTCAAGGCTGTGTGTATAGTCAGACAAAAAGAAACAAAACGATTTTTAAAGTAGTTTGTAGGAGTACCTGTGCAGGTAAGAACATGTTGACAAACCAAAAGAGATTCCACAAAGTCAAACACACAACATTTAGTGCTGGTTTTACTCTCCCTAAAAGGAAAGGACATCTGATGGGCACCTTCTAAGATTTGTTAGACTCTGCTTGCTGCCAAGAATGAAAATACCTTATCAGATAAAACATCTACCATATAGATATTCCTCACTGGTGTGAGCCAGTGCCAACCAAATGACAGATTACTTCGTCTGTATCTAAGGATCTAAATGTCAGTACAGTGTAATTTACGAGCACTGCCACAGTGTGGGCTGACTTGAAAGTTGCCATGAAAGTTTGTTAAAGTAAAAAACAGGGCCTTCACAGCAAGTAGACATTCATTTACACTGTGAGTCACCACTGAGCCTTTCACTCCCGTTTTAATAAATGTTATTTTCCTTCAAAGACAAAACACTGTTTTACTGCTACCTGCTATGTTAGTTGGCCCCTTAGACACCTACCATGCTGTTCCTGCAGACTCATCTATGCCTGACCAAACATCACTTTTCAAATCCTCCTGTAGCCACATCTGTTGTGTGAAGCAGGTTGGCTCTTATTTCCGAAGCTGATTTAAGTGAGTCACTTTCTCAGGTTGGTGTCAACCCAGCTGACTTGGTTATCTAGCCACTCTTTTCACAGCCTCTTGCCAAAATGAACAAGAAGTTTCTCAGTTTCTAAGTTGGATTCTTGCCTCTAGGTCTATGTCAGTAAAACTGATTCCCATAGTTACACTCTGTATGAAAAAAGGTTTGTCTATCAAAGCAGACAAGGAAATTATCACAGTTCCTCATTTGCCCTAATCTACATAGTTTTCAACTCACCTACTCGACTTTCAAGTAGTTTTTAGCTAAATGGCATCAGCATTTCTGCACATATTCTTTGCTCTACTTAATTTGAAGTATCCTCCAAAAACTTAGGAATAAAACAAAATGTCCATTTTTTTAAATCCAAAGTGACATGCTGTTTTTTGCTTGCACTGTCTGTTGAAAGGTTGAGGTCAGCTAGAAGCTGGATCTGACAGCAGTTAAGAATCTTGCTTAAAATAAATGCACTTTAGTAAACACTGTCAAAACTGTGACCCAGTAGTGATTTGTACTTTTCTCTGTAGTTCCCCAGTTTTTACACAGTTCATCAATTGGGGGGAAAACACCTGAATGGTATAAATGCACTGACAAATCATTGACTAGTCACAGCAAGGTACACCAAAGTATTTAGAAATCAAAACAAAAGCACAGACCTTAACTAACTGACTGAAAATCAAATTCATGACCACATGAGATAGGCCTGCACACTCATTTGTCATTTTTAGCTACAGTTTCTCGAGTGAGATTAAATACCATAGCTATATTTTTCTCAGAAGAATTTTGATCGTTTGAGAGTAACAGGGTAGTTATATTGGCCTCCTCCCTATCAAACATATTTTATATATACATCGATCGAGAGAGATTAATATGGCAAGTTTCCTCAAGATATTTTCATTTTCAACGTGAAGATGACAAGATGATTAACTCTGGTTGAACAGAAACTAGCCTCACCAGCTGGTCTCAATAGCTGAAGACCATTGAGCAGCGGTAGTTGCTCTTCTCGTGTCCTGTACACAATCTTTGTCAAGCCCTCGTGCCTTCGTAGTCCAGCTCCTCCTCTTATGCAAAACATGCTCGGTATCAGGAAATTAAAAATCCCGTGATGTCAGGGGGAGTGCTAGCATAGCATCGGAATGACTAAAGTGGCTTTCTCGGTTTGGGCTTAAGAGTTTTTCAGCGGTTACTGTCAGTTTAGCTCCGCTGTCGTGTACCGTCATGGGGTTATCCGGGTCGAAGGCTGTTCCCGTCCGTTAACAACGGAATGAAGCCTCTCATGGGACTTAACGGGATGCAGTTGAGTTAGCATCTCCGGAGCCCGAGGTGAGATTTATGTGCCACACAAGCTAGTAGGCTAGTTTACAAGTTACGCTGTGGGCAGGTTAACTATTAGCAACATTCCGCTGGACACCAGGAGTTATGGCGAGGTTGGTGTTGGAGCAACTGTCAGATTTCGGGGACTATACTAGCGCTAAAGAGCTGACTGAGATCTTTAAACTGACCCACAACGAGCAGTCAAATGTACGCCTGAGTCCAGATGGACGCCACATCCATGTTATCCTCCGCAAGCCTAAGGTCGGTCTTGTGACTTTTGACAAGTATGAAAGACTCCAGCTGGTCCAGAACAAGAAGAAGCTGGATTTGAGGTTGACACGAACAGTGCCTATTGTGGATATTTTGTATCTGGACTACAGTAATAGTAACAGCAGCAGAGCCGCAGCAGCTGTGGCGGTGGTTTATGAGGATGGAAAAGCAGAGTTCTGGAAGTTCCAGGAGTGCAAAGCTGGCTGGCATCTCCTGCAAACGTCAGATTTGTGCAACAGCCCCCGGGCGAGAGTGGTGTCAGCCTGTGCCTGTTCCAATCTCATCGTGTGGTGTGAGGAGAGGCCACCCTCAGGAAGCTCCCCTGCCCTCAGCTCCACAAGGAATAAGCTGAGATACTGTGTCTGCAGACGTGACTTCGAGGTAGAGGAGGGGGCTGTCATCCTAGGAGGGGTGAAAATCGCCCTCCACAACAATCCCAAATTCACTGTGGTCAGCTCAGGTGAATGTGTGCATCTTCTTCCGGACTTGGAAGTGAAGCCGCTGTTGAGCATCTCCAAATTTTTCCTCTCCTGGTCCCCTTGCCGTGACTCCTACACAGTCAACACCACATGTAAAAACACTCCCCTGAAAGCAGTTTCGGCTAAAGAGTCTGACTTCAAGACGCTGCTGACAGACTGTTTAGGATATTTATCAACTCTTGAGCCACCTGAGATCTACAATTTCTCTCCGACAGGCTGTGGAGGCCTGCTGCTGCTGCTCAGCACAGGCTGGGTGTGTCTTCTGCAGAAAGATGGGATGCTGCGGCAGGTGTACAAACTGGCAGACAACTGCATGGTAACAAGTGGCACTCACACTAGCCTCTGCATGTACCAGGACACCCTGGCGCTGCTGATAGGCCAAAACCTGCATCTGATAGACGTGAACTGTGGCAAAGAGCTAGAAAAAATCATGCTGAAGAGTGAGGGGTTATTGTATGTTAACCGGGCTGAAAAATGTACGCCTCACCTCATCTCAGAAGCTGGGCTTTTTGTGGTAGTGAACAAGGAGAAAGAGAGCAACTCTAAGATAAAGCCTTCTGGTGTCATTACAGTGGAGAGTATTCATCCTGGGGCCCTCCTGGTAGAGGCTGTCTTTGAGGAGGCCTGTAAATACTACCAGCAGAGGAGCCTCAGCAGCACCCAGCTCACTGTGGATGCACTGAAGAAAGGAGGTAGGTTCCAGGCTCCCACCTCTTTAGCCTCCATCCTCAGGAACTACCTCGGTGCAGGGTCAAGGCAGAAAGGAGCACAGCTGTCCCAGAATGGAGGAGATGGATGTACAGCAGCGCAAGATAAGCTAATGGGCTCTCTGGAGGCTGAGCTCAAGGCTCTGGTCTCTCTGGAAGAGGTGAAGGGCAGTTTAGTGAGGGGAAGTGTTAAAGAGGTGGAGGCAGTGTGTGAGAATCTAGTTGAGAAAGAAGTAGCCAGGCTGCTGTCGTCCTCAGAGCTGGATAAAGAGGCTCTGCTTTACCTCAACTCCATCTTCAACATCTTCCCCTCCCAGGTCTGGAGGGCAGCGCAGGCTGCCCTTCAGCTACACTACAACGGGGAGGGCTCTCTCTCCAGCAGGGCTCCCCCAGACGTGTGGAAAACTGTTCTCAGTCCTGGTCTGACACCCAGCGCCCCAGCCTCCCTGCCATACACAAACGGCAGACCAAAACACAATCATAGCCTCAAAGGTGATCACATTGCTAACTGTAAAGCCAAGCCTGCAAGCTCCACTCCTCCAGCTACCCTGCCTGTGTTTGAGCTCCTCTGCAAATCAGTTTTCTACTTCCAGCCCAGCTGGTTGCCACGGTTCCTCGAGCTCGCCCAGCAGCAGCAGGGCTGCTCAGCCAGCCTGGGGCTGAGCCTGGCCTCTTCCTCGTGGAGCTTCTCTGGTGGGCAAGGAGGCGAGTGCGGGGAGAACAACGTGCCGCTCTATAAACGAGCCCTGTGTGTCTTGTCTAGCCTGAGCCTAGACAGAGACCAGCACCAGGACTTAGAGGTGGAGCTGCTGCTGGTTTGTGGGCGGCCCAACGCCATCCTCCAGGCTCTGAGAATCCTCATGGCCAAGCAGCAGTGGGAGCGAGTCACCCAGGTGGCTCAGAAGTTCTGCAAGCAGAGTCCGCTGCTCAACAAGGAGATTTTCACTACTCTGCTGTGCGAGGTGGCCCAGCACAGAGACCTGGACCCCTACCTGGACCTGCTGTGGGTGCTGTGCCCAGAGGACCTCACTGTCACCACTATTCTCAACTTGTTGCTGAAAAACCTCCCTTCCCCTAACAGCCCCCCCTCCTCCCCCTCTTCCTCCACATCCTCTTCCTCCTCCTTCTCCATCATGTCCAATACAACCCCCTCATCCTCTGCTCCCTTTGTGGACTCGCAGAGCAGCCAGTTGACTATCGGACTGTTGAAACCTCTGCTGAGAAAAGTCTTTCAGAGGGAGACAAAGCCTAGCCAGCGCTACGCTGACATCCTCCAGTCGCCATCATACCCCCCTCCTGCACCTCCTCGCCAGCCCACAGAGCAGCCCAGGGCTGTCACAGATTCCAGCACAGACTCCACTCTGGGAAGCAACATCAACCCGGCTCTTCTTGCAGAAGCACCAGAGCGGCAGTCGTCCACACACACAACTGTCCAAAGAGCCAGGGTGGCCCTACCCGCCAACCCAGTCTGATTTCCATAAAAATGGACTCAAAATGGAGAACCAAACCTGTTTCATAAAACATTCCCCACATAATCTGACTAAACTGTGATGCTGTGTGTGTGTGTGTGTGTGTGTGTGTGTGTGTGTGTGTGTGTGTGTGAACAATCAAATTAAAACAGAGTAATATCAGTATGTTACAGCTATCATCAGTGTAATGCAGTTAATTGTGATATTTGATGGTGTTTTTAAAATAGATTGTTAATGTCAGATGACGTATGACGACTAGAAACTATGAAATGACTACTGAGGATCTTACTAGTGTAAATACTGCAGGTAATTTTAAGTCTTAATGTGTATATACTGTATCTGGATTGTTATTTATCTCTTAAACCTAAGCTGCACGTGGATGAGAATGTTACTCCGGCATTGAATATGCATAGGCTTTATCAAACTACCATCAATTAATGATAATATGTTGCGTTAACACAGTGTGGTGGTCATCCACTCAGTCAAAAACAAAGCCACTAACACCCATTTTGGGTTGTATCAAATCTGTGCTCAGAGTATTATTTGTCTTGGCCAGCTGATGTCTGCTAATTGTTGCCAAGTATAGCTGCCTTTAATATGCGTTGATGTCAAAGTGGGTTCATGCAGTGGGTAATTTACTGTAAGTGTTATCCAGACAAGCTTGCCTTTGTGTTTGAATGTTTGTATTAAGTGTGGTCTGGTTTAGAAGTGGAGGAGGCTACGGGGGAGTCCAAGGTACCATTACTGACTTCTAGTTGTGTACTTCACATATTACAAGTGCTTAAACATTAACCTGGTTTCAGTGAGCTCAGCCAGACCATGCAACTTCTGTAAACCAAACCCAGAAAGAGTCTGCCTGTCTTCCATTTTTCCTTTCCACATTGTCATTTGTCTCTTTAGACTCCATCTAGTCCACTCCGCTTCCTCAAAGCGCAACTCGCAGGACATTCCAGACAGAAAACCCAGTCAAGTGACTCACAGTTCGACTTTAAATTCAATTTTGGAGGTAATTCTGTTAGGATTCGGGTGCGGGTTGGCCACGTTGTGACTAATATGCTGCTGCCAGGTCATGTTCATGGACCCTGTGAGGTAATGATGTTAGGCCGTCTGTCTTGCGCCTGATAGTTTTCACCATGCTCTGAAAAGATGGTGATTGCACTTTTATACCCCCCCTCCCCCGTCAGTATTGTTTGTACCATGTTTTTGATGCACCTGTTGAAAAGAATGATTTCTGATTAAGTGCTGTAAACATAAGTATATTTAAGTGCCTGTCACTGATGCCTTTGTTAATGCCTTCTCTTGAAGCAGTCTATATGTATGCTACTGGAGCCCTCTGAAACAGAATGTTATTAATGTTGTAGCAATATTTGAAAGACTACTACAAGGATAACCCTAGGCCCTGCATGGGTGAGGTCCTGACAGAGGAACTCTTGTGACATGTTGAGTGACAATCGGACTCCAAAATGTTGCAGAGCAATCAGTGCCTTTCACAGCGCTGCTCTTCATTTACAGGGTAGTCACGTTCCTGCTGCGTCTCCTCAGCTCCAGTGAGGAAGATGTGGAGGTAGATCAGAGGACCTGTTGTAATGTGGAGTACAGTGTTTTGTTTTTGATGTGAGGAACAGCTCTTGGCCTCTACAGTCAAAGGCTGTTTTTTTTTTTTTTTTAATGATCATATTTTAATTTCAATATGAAACCTACTAATTTCTTACTCTGGCCTGCTTGGTGTATTAATACTGTCATTCCAGCATGACAGAATGTGTGCAAACAATTTCAGTTCAGTGCCGTCAGTTTCGCTGTGTACAGACAAGTGTCAGCCCATCTCAGAATCACTGGGAACTCCCTGACTTCCCCACACAGGCCACACAGCCCGAGGTTATCACTGTTCAGATGTTAAATCTAAAATTGCCTTAAACTTTGCTTCTGGTTTCTCTTAACAAGTAGGAATTCCTCTTGGATTTGCTTGGCAAAGTTTCACGTCTAGATGGTTGCTGTGATTACTTTTGGTGATGCTCTCCTGTAAGCGGTATTTGGAAGGAAAAAAAAACATGTATGCAAGTATTTATAAATGGATGCTGTATGCTATTAAACTGAAGATAAAACTTCTGTATGCTGTCCCGAGTTTTATGTGTGTTAAAGAATATTCTTACGGGCCTTAATTGATGTAACAGGGAAAGGTTTTAGCTGACCCCACAAGTGTTTACTGACCTTCCAGCTCTAGTTATTTCTCACATGTAATTGTCCTTGTTAGGGAGACGACAGTTAGACTGATAAGGTAGGTAGACAGTAGCTCAGGCGTCAGACTAGCAGATATTGGTGTTCGCTGGGAATCTCCCAAGCTTCACATTTGTTGCAGGGCTGTAATACTGGATTGCATTACACTGTACAAACAGTGTTGAAGAATTATTGTGAGCCAGGTTCAGGTGTGAAGAAGTGTTGGAGACTGATGAAGACGACTTATAGCATGGTTTATCGAGCCCGGCCAAGGAGATACAGTGCCAGCATACAACGTGAACATGTCGAATGCCAACACCATAGCTGAAGTATAACATTTTTATGTTTCTCTCTTCCCCCTAGTGACTAGGTTTTCCCTCTTAGGTCATCTTTAGCTGGCATTAACCAAGAACAACAAATCTATCTGATGTTTAGACTCCAATACTACATCTTATTGGAATCTATTACTTTCCATGAGTTGTACCCTAACCTGCGGATCCAGTCAGTTCTTGTAAACATTCGTGTAAGACTCAACCTTGTAATGTTCAGTGTCATCGAGGCTTTGACTGCACTCTGGTAGCTTTTAACAGCTTTAACTTGTGTTGTTTTAGATTGCATTACATTGTTTTCCAGATACAGTTGCAGTCACTTAGCAATACGTTTATGTGCCAGCAAGCCTCTTTTTATACTTCTAAACATGTGTCATTGTCACCTACCTGCCAAGTTCCTGCTCCCACAGATAGCTGTAGTTCTGGTTTGCTCAGCTCTTTCAGCATATTCCATTCACTCGACTGCACAACAACAGGTCTAGCTGACAGACCACACGCTATTCAATTTGAAACAACTACAAATGTCAAGGCTATTACACTCTGTCAGGTTTATTCATTCAGTTATTTGACCTGAAAAATAACCTTTGAGGTCTTGTACACACAGTTATCCATTTATATGATCCACTGTCCCAGAGTTTCACCATGTCCCTTCCATGGACAAATCCACTTATAGCTGCAGTCTAATGTGTGTGTGTGTGTGTGAGATCTAGTGGATGAATTTGAGTGTGCAAATGCACTCAAACTTTTCCATGGTCAGGGCCCATGAGAGAAATGTTCAGTCGTTACCCATTAAGCTTCTGAATCAGAGGCCGCCTCTTAACTAACTCTGACAACAGAAAAAGCAGAGGTCGGACACTGAGTGCATGCGTGTGGCCGCTGCTTCTCACAGCAAATAGATAGGTTCCACATGGGGATGTGAGGGAATGATCACAGGGGTGGAATAAGTGTAGAGGTGGAAAGTGGAGGGTGGTGAGTCCTGAGAACCACACAGCTGCAGAACAACATGGTGCTGTTTTCCTCTCTCCTCCCTCTTTCTTTCCCTTTCACTGTAACATATTTTTTCCCCTTCAGATTGTGTTTCCCTGTATCCAGCCTCTCGTGTTACAAGGTTTTGAGTCATGCTGGTGCTGTAATGCCATCGATTCACTTGTTCTAATTATAGATGACTTCCTGCAAGCAATAATAAATCTGAACAGACGGAGGCTGGTCCTGCCTCTAACTCTGTCCTCTGCTTTGTCTCTGAACAGCTGACTATATATGAGAGAGCTGCACAAATTAATGCATCAGTAAAAGGATAACAGCATTAAAGGACATTTTCACCACTTATATTAATGGGGCTCTCAGGCTAGAGGTAATTTATGTTTCACAAGTCGGAATAACTTACAGGATAGCAACTCTGGAGTTATAGTTTCAATAACCATACAGCTCCTGTTTTGACTCCCATGATTGGATTATAAATGAGTCTATGGATCATCAGCCTGATATTAAATTTCTTATTTACCCCAAAAGGCTATAATTTCATTCCTATGCTGATTGGCTGAAAGGTTGAATGCATCATTTATGCAACCAACCAGTCTGGTTGCTTTGTCTCCAATTGATTTAGAAGAACATGTTTGCTGTTGCTTTGTTTTACTTCAGTGCCATCACCAGGACTCTGTTGGTTTTCAAAACCTCGGTCCAGGTGCTATAAAACATCCGGTGCTTTAAAAAAAAGTCCTTCACCACAAGGGATGTCTGTTATTATTTGAGCAGTATCTATTTGTAAAAGGGAAGCAAGGTAATAATGTTGTGAAATCTTCAATTATAAGTTAAATCTTTACACCTTTGAAACCAGCAGCTCATACAATTTTCCTCATGTCAATTTACAATGTCATGTTACGTTCTTGATCTGTTGGCATGCTTGACAGTAATCGTGATCACAGAGACACACCATCTCTGTCTACTATAGCAAATCATAAGTAAGCAGTATGTGTGCAATCTGTAAATATGCCGTTTATGGATACAGTAGTGTGTATCAGTTTGCAAACCGTTCATGCAAATGTGCACTGTGAAAAGCACTTTTATGGTTTGTGGGGGGGGGGGGGGGACACTGACTGATCTGTGATATCCCACTCATGTTACAGCTAAAAGTTAGAAGAATGTGCAGCAGACTCATCACGGGTGAATTTTTTACTTTTAATAGTTTTCACAACATGCTCACAATCACGGGCAGTCAGATAAAGTGCTGTGTAACAGAAAGATAAAACAAAGTACAAAATCATCATTATCAGATAAATCAATATTTACAAAACCACATTTGCAATGGTAACCAAAAAGTTACAGGTGTGTAGTTTGCAAACAGCATTATATGTGATATGACCAGTTACACAGACAATCTGTCCCACAAAAAAAAAAAAATAGTGTATTCATTTCATGATTCGTACAAAAACATTGTGATTGGATTTCCAGTGTTAGTGCAATGATAACTGAGAATGAAGAGAATGAAGTGTTACTAGGTTACTAAACCACTGTGATTAAGAGATAGAGGGTGGCACATTACAAATGCCTGTTGGCACGGTAACACACTGCTGCGTTCTCTGAGAGCACTGCACACCAATATGACTATTCATAAATCAAATGTCATCAACGCGACAAATCACATTCACATTTTTAAATATGAAGACTATGTTCTCAGAATCCAGCAGCATTCAGTTCATACATTAAATACATACATAACATTTCTATATTACTACAGTATAAATGAAACAAATCTCTATTTAAAGATGATGAAAAAAAATCCCTGCAGATTCCCTTATGCCCTGTGTCCCCCTGAGGTCAATTCAAAGATGCTGTGTGCGGTCTATGAAATGTATTGTATGACCACAGCAGTCACTGAGTAAGTGGCTTTGCTTCTCCACCATATGGTAAAAATCGGAATTAAAAAATTAGTAACCTGAATCTTCATTTTTTTTTTTCCCCCACCAGAGTGACAGTGTGCCACATCTGTGCAGAATTGTGTTTTTGTTTTGTCATGCCATGCCACAGTTGTGCCTGCAGTCTTTAAAAGCTGTATCACACATATGCCGTCCTCTCAGGTGGATTTCATCTGGGCCCGTGGGATGTGGTTCATGATTATGAGGTTGCTGGAAATAGAGAGATATCAACAGGCAGACCAGTACAGTCAGATGAAGCAGTCGTGTGCTTCTTGCACAACATGTGCACACATAGACATGTGTGTGTAAACAAATCCAGCAGACGCATCTTTGTAGTTTGTTTGTGCTACTTACTCATAGACATCAGAGGTCTTCATTTTCCTGTAGTACTTGGCTAATTTGACAGAAAAGATGATGCTGGGGATGAAGAAGATCATGCACCAGCCCAGACTGAACCAGAACGCATTCTAAAAAAGAGAAAGAGAGAGACAGCATGGGTGAATACTATGCAGAGCTGATACAGAAAGTGATTTATTACAGTTTGACAAACATAAAAAATGCTATTTTTCTAACTAGCCACTATTCTCCAGACATCTGTGTATTTGCTAATAAGAAATCAATTAGTGATGACGATGTGCAGCTGTAGTCGCAGCAAACAACATCTGATCCTCACCAGAGACTCCACAATGTGTGAGCAGAGGATCATCTCAACAGTGTCCACAGCTCCCGCCACCGGCCCACAGCGGCCAACCTGCTGTGTGATCTGAGGGAGAATCCACAGACATTGGACTCATACGTTTCCTGCTTTGAGTACATGCGGTAGGTTCAAAGCATAAAAATCTTAACAGACTTTACCGTGAGGTTGGCGTAGTCGGCATAAGCAATGAAGTAGCCCAGCTGACAGTCTAAAAACTTTCTGCTTTCCTGGGATGGAGAGAGAAAGAGAGTAATTTGCACACATTTCCTCCCTGCTTTACAGCGGGGAGGTCATGAGGAATCAGTGGAAGGCCTAGCCATCTCAAGTGGAATTCTGATTAAATCCTGACCCCTAAATAACTGCAATAGCGTTATGATTAGACAAGGTGATTAGAAATGTTTAATAATATAGCACATTTAATGCACAGAGGAAATCCAAAGTGCATTAAAACATTCAAGAATGAGACTGGTGATATTCTATATATCTCATATTGTTAACAAATCCAATACAAAGACCAAAACCAACATTACTTTATCCAGCTAACAAAGTATGTCTATGCAGCAACGTTTACATGACAGAAAATGGACCTGAAGTGTCATCCCTCTCAGTACTTCAACGAATGCATTACTACAACTGAAGACTAATACAATTGGACGCTAAATGTAATTCATGCCCTGTGGATGTGGAACCTACAAGCACATTGTTTTAACTACAAGCAGCAAACACGTACTATCTAAGCCATAGCACCTCCCCCTCGCCCCCTCTGGCTAAATATCTGACCGACCACAGGCATAAACAGACCACATGGAGCATTTTTTCATCTAACTCATGTGACTTGTGGCTCCACTCACGGTCTTCAAGATCTGTGTCGCATTTGTGTTGAGGAAGTCTTGTGCTACTCCCACTTTGCTCAGGACCTCCCCCACTGTGCCCTGGAAGGGAGGAGAGAGTGAG